GTTAAGTGAAGAATAATTCTTGCTTTTTCACTGTTTAAGGACAACGCACTGAACATACATGATATATACTCATCAGAGTATGACTACAAAGTCCATTTCTATTCTACCAATTCCAGTTCAACCGACAATTATTGAAAACCTACCATATTTTAGGCACTGCACAGGTGATTTGACGGTGACTCTCTCATTCAGTCCTAGTATCTTTGTCAAGCAAATAGCATCTCTACTGTAGAGATGAAAAAATTGAGAGAAGTTAAATGACCTGTCTAGGCTCACCCAACTAGTGAGAAACAGTGCTGGGATTTAAACTCAAGTCCCCTGGTTCCAAGATCCATGCTTTCAGTAGCCTAATAAATGTCATCTTTTATTAAAAGTATGAGTCAGAGGTTGTTAGTAAATTTACAAGGTTGTATGAGCAACCCACTTAGTTGCTAGCCATCACCCACAAAAGACACCCATTAGCAGTCATTCTCCATTCCTCTGTCTTAGCCCCTGGCAAATTACTAATTTACACTGTATCTCTGTGCATTTGCCTATTCTGCACAGTTCATATAAATGGAAACACACATGATGTGGCCTTTCCTGTCTGCTTCTTTTAATCAGCACCTTGTTTTCAAGATTTATCTGTGTGTATCATATACCAACAGTTCATCCTTTTTATAGCTGAATAATAATCCGTTGTATGTACATACTATATTTTACACATCAGCTAAAAGACATATGGATTGTTTCTACTTTTTGGCTGCTATGAATAATTCTGCTATCACTTGGCTTTGAGGAACTCAATGAGACTCATAAACCATAGGCCATATACACTATAACCATAGGTCATACACACTATAAACACTCATATACAAATTTTTGTGTGCACATGTTTTCAAATCTCTTGTGTATACACATACACACAGACCCTTAGGGGTGGGATTGCTGAGTCATACGGGAACACTGTTTAACTTTTTGAGGAGTTATAAAACTTTTTCAAAGTCTAAACCATTTTTCATTCCTACCAGTAATGAATGAAGGCTTGGATTTCTTTATATCATCTTCAACAGCTGTTATTTTCCCTTTATTATTATGGTCATACCCATGGGTATAAAGTGATCTCTCATGGTATTGAGTTGTGTTTCCTAATGACTTATGATGTTGACCATTCCTTCATGTTCCTATTGACCACTGGTATGTTTATGGAGAAATGCCTACACAAATCCTTTGCCCATTTTTCAAATGGATTTTTTTTTATTGTAAATGTCCTTTATATGAGTATATCCTGGATTCCAGATACTTATCAGACATATGATTTGAAAACATTTTCTCCCATTTTATGGGTTTTCACTTTTTCAGGTTTTTAATTTTGATGTCATCCAATGTATCTATTGTTTGCTTGGTTTCTTGTGCTTTTGGTGTCATAACTAGGAAATCATTGCCTACTTCAAGACATGAACTCTTACTCATAAATATCACTTTTCAACTGGGCTTTCCTCTCCTTCCAAAGGTAGAGGAACAAAAATCACAGTTACCTTTTCAGCTTCAAGTGAGCCTGAACCTCCATTTGGTGTAGAAAATGTGGCTTATTTTTATAGAAGATAGGAACATTCTATTAAAACAATTCAAGAACTCATAAATTTTCTCCCAAATTAAGATAATTTATGATAAGTGCTTATTACAGGGTATTAAATAAATTATGGCTATTATTATCTTAATTATTATAATTATAAGAGTTTAAATCAGTGTCCTCAGAAGAGTAATAAATAGAAAATAAAAATAAAAGTTTAGAATTCCTGATTAAATGCAAGACATCCCAAGTGGAGACATGTTAGCATGTGATAGCTAAAAGCTGAGATGACTTCCCTAAGCCAGCTACAGTTAGCAACCTAAAGGATAGCTGTTGTTCATCTAGTGAACAGAGAGTCCCCTAAAATTTGGAGAAAGAAGCTTTCACTTCATTCCTTGTTTCAATCCTCCTTATTATATAATAAACATTCCAGATTTTAGGAGTTGGTTCACCTATTGTTAAACCAATGGAACTTGACTTTTAGGGTGAGATTATCTTTTCTGAGAAATTATAGTTGGGAATTTCAGGGCCATGTGCCTTTTAAAACCCACTAGTGTGGCACCAGAATCGATTGGAGAGCTTTCAGGAAGAAGTTAAAGCATGCAGACCACCACTTAGGATTGTACCAGTTGTGCAACTCAACTACAGAGGGCATCTTTCGACTCAAAGTCATTGTAGACTCATGCAATTTTGATGATTTTCCCAACTAGCAAATTATTGTCTTGGAGAAAGAGGACCTTTTTCTAACATTTATAAATGCACCATGTAGGTAAGTAGGACAGTGGATGGGCATTCCCATTTTTCCATATGATTACAGGTGGCATATTATTAATGTTCTGAATGTTCAGTGAGTTCTCCCCTAGTTCTTGGAAATGAACTTGGGGTTCTTGGGTTACTTAGGTAGCTACTGGCTACACAGTATTCATTGTGTCACTGTGTCAATGACAATACCCATATATTTAATTAGACACATTCCAATGGCCTGCAGAACCACTGACCCATGTGAAATTGAAGTAATGGCATCAGTGGTCATTAGGAATAACAATGATTTAAAACAGACTGACCCAATGGAAAAACAGACAAAATCAGAATCCAGAGTAAATTCAAATGACTGTTAAACATAAGAATAGCTCTATTTTACTAGTAATATATTAAATTCAAAATTAAGACAGTGAGATACATTTTTCATTTATTAGACTGACCAAAATAAGAGTGCTGGCAAAGGTAGGAAGAGAGGGTATTCAAATGCTGTTGATGGAAGCAGAAATTGATACAACATTTTTGACAATAGTCAAACTGTCAAATGTACATTTCCTTTGATTGAGTTATTCCATTTTTAGGAAAGTGTTTAGCTAAGTGTAAATATTGATATAAGAAAAAAACTTTGTGTATAAGCATGTTCCCTGGCTATCACTAGCAACATTTCTATTATTAGAAATGATCTACACCTCAACTACAGTTTACTGGTTCACTGGATTCAAAGTAGGATGCACAATATGATTCCTTCTTTAGAAATTCTGTGTGCATATATATACTAATATGTGAGTGCGTGTATATGCATCTATACATACATACATAAACACATGTATAATTGTAAACAAAATGGTATGTAGTGATTATCTGTGAGATTCTGACTGTTTGTGGAGTGCTCTCTTTGGCAGCACATACAATAAAAATTGGAATGATACAGAGAAGATTAGCGTGGCTCCTGCACAAGGATAACATGCAAAGTGGTGAAACATTCCATATTGTAAGTATGAATTTACTTTATTGAATCCCACAAAACATTCAAAGAGGAAGTAACTCCAATACTTTTCAAATGATTCCAAAATACTGAACAAGATGGAACTCTGCCAAACTTTGTATAAGGCCAGCATTACTTTAATACCAAAACCAAAAGACAGGATATGAAAAAACTAGAGACCTGTATTCTTAATGAACATAGATGCAAAGATTCCAAACAAAAAACTAGCAAACTGAATCCAAAACCACATCCAAAAGATTATACATCATGATCAAGTGGGATTTATCCCAGAAATGCAAGGATGGTTCAACATTCACAAATCAATAAATGTCATAAATCACATCAAAAAAATGAAGAACAAAAAGCATATAGCACTTGAAAAGATTCAACACCCCTACATGATAAAAATCTTCACAAATTAGCTTTAGAAGGAACAATCCTCAAACTTATAAAGGCTATATATCACAAACCAACAAGCAATATTATACTGAATGGAGAAAAACTGAAAACATTTCCTTTGAGATTTGGAACAAGACAAGGATGTACACTTTTGCCACTCTTATTCAACATAGTACTGGAAGTTTTAGCAAGAAGAATTAGGGAGGAGAAAGAAATAAGGTACATCAAAATTGGAAAAGAGGAAGTCAAATTATCCATCTTTGCAGACATAATGTTGTACATGGAAAAACATGAACACTCCATCAAAAAGCTCTTAGAATTGATAAACCATTTCAGTAAAAACAATTGCTTCATTGTATGCTAATGATGAACTCACTGAAAAGAGAAATCAAGAAAGAAATCCCATTCACAATAGCCACAAAAACCCAAATATTTAGGAAGAAATTTAACGAAAGAACTGAAAGATCTCTATAATGAAAATGATCATTGATGAAAGAAATCATCAATAGAATGCTGGCTGCGGGTATGCCATAAATTGCTTTGGTTCTGTTGAGGAATGTTCTTACTAAGATCTATTTTCAATTAACTTTATACAAATAAGATGAACCTTACCCTAAGTATAGAGTTTAACAAACAGCTAGAAAAAAAAAAAACTGTTCCTCAACAGTCGAGACAAGGGCTGTTCAAAGTCATCAAATCTCAAAGAGTTAGTTTCACTTCTATAGATTCCCTTTTAGGTAATCTGTTACCACAGATCAGGGAGAACATGCGGTATTTGTATTTTCAGGACTGGCTTATTTCACAAAGTATAATGTTTTACAGTTGTGCTCATTTTTTTACAAATGGCAGAATTTCATTTTTTAACCGCTGTGTAGTATTTCATGGAGTATACATCCCAAAGTTTCTTCATCCAGTCTTCAGTTAATGGGCATCTGGGTTGATTCTATATCTTAACTATTGTGAATTGAGCTGCAGTGAACACGGGGGTACAGATAACTCTTTCATATGCTGATTTCATTTCCAGGAGTGTGATGGTTGGGTCATAGAGTAGGTCTGTATTCAGATGTCTGAAGTATCTCCAAACTGTCTAACACAGTGTCTGTAACCAGTTTACATTACAAGGAATAGAGGATTAGGGTACCCTTTTCCCCATATCCTCTCCAGCATTTGTTGTTTGTTGATTTCTGTATGAAATCCATTCTAACTGGGGTGAGGTGAGGGATAGTTTGACTTCCTCCTTCCAAGTTTGTATCCCTTTGAGTTTTCCTGAGCCAGCGTTAGAGAGCCAGAGGACTTTTCAGAGCGCTACGGGCTGTGGCTAAAACTTCCAGGACTATATTGAATAGCAATGGTAAGAGTGAGCATCCTTGTAAAGACATTCTTTACAGACCTAGAAAAGCAATCTTAAAATTCTTATGGAATCACAAAAGACCTAGAATATCCAAAGCCATTCTGAACAAGAAAAATTAAGCTGGAGACATCACAATACCTGAGTTCATAGCACACTACAAAGCTATAGTAATTAAAACAACATGGTACTGCATTAAAAATAAATACACAGATCAATGAAACAGACTACAAAGCCCAGAAATTAATCCTCATACATATTTTTTGATAGAAGTGCTCAGACCTTAAGGTGGAGTAAGAATAATCTCTTCAACAAATGGTACTGGCGAAACTGGATGCATATATGTAGAAGAATGAAATTAGATCCATATCTCTTATCATACAAAAATCTTCTCACGATGGATCAAAGACCTAAATTTAAAACCTGAAACTATGAAGTTGCTGAAAGAAAACATAGAAGATACACTCCAAGACATTTGGTGTAGGGGACAACTTCTTGGACAAGATCCCCAAGAGGCAATAAAAGCGAAAAACAAATGGGGACTATCTCAAACTCAGAAATTTTTGCATAGCAAAGGAAGTGATCAATAGAGCGAGGAGACATAATGGGAAAAATATTTGCAAACCACCTGACAAAGGACTAATATTCCAAATATATCAGCAACTTAAAAAACTCAACAAGAGAAATACAACCAATCCAATTGAGAAATGGGCAAAGGACTTCAATAGATAATTTTCAAAACAAGAAATACAAATGACCAAAAATACATGACATAATTTTCAACATCACTAGCCACCAGGGAAATGCAAATGAAAACCACATGAGATATCACCTCATCCCTGTCAGAATGGCAAAACCCAAAAGACAGAGAGTAACAAATGTTGACAAGGATGTAGACAAACGGGAACACTTACACAGCATTGGTGTTAATGTAAATTAGTGTAGCCACTGTGGAAAACAGTGTGGAGATTTCTTAAAAACCTAGAAAGATTTGCCACATGACCCAGCAATTCCCCTAAGAGGTATGTAACCAAAAGGCTTGAACATAATGAATCAAGGAGATACCTACACCACCATTGTAGAGCAGCATTGTTCACAACAGCCAAAATTTGGAATCAACCAAGGTGTCCATCATCAGATGAATGGATAAAATTGTATATATATATGTACATATACATATATACATACACACAATAGACTAAAGAATGAAATTCTACCATTTGCAGCAAAATGGACCCAACTGAAGGACATCATGTTGAGCAAAATAAGCTGCACCCAGAAAGAGAAATACCACATGTTCTCCCTTATATAGTGGGAGTTAAATTTAAAAAGCAAACAAAAAAGAAAAAGAAATGTCTTTGTGTATCAGAATTGCTGCAAATATAGCTTTGTAAAACTTGGTTTTATATCTTTTTCAAACCAATGGTTAAGAATGTTGTATTAGCATGGGGCTGGCATTGTGGCAGAGGGTAGAGCCATAGCCTGCAACACCGGCATCCCATATGGGTGCCATTTTGAGTTCCAGCTGCTCCACTTGCCATCCAGCTCCTTGTTAATGTGCCTGGGAAAGCAGCGGAGGATGAGCCAAATATTTGGGCCCCTGGCCCTTGTGGCCACTTGAGTGAACCAGTGGATGGAAGATTTCTGTCACTCTCTGTGTGTCTCTCCCTCTCTCTCTAACTCTGCTTTTCAAATAAACAAATAGATCTCTCTCTCTTTTTTTTTAAATGAATGTTATACTACTACAGTTTTCAATGAACTATGATAATACTTTAAGATTTATGTATATGGGTAAAATGGTCTTTTTTTTTCATTCAATTATTGGTTATAGCTATTGTCTATATTCCTACTAAACTAGGGTCTTTTTGCTTTCTACTTGTTAAACTTATTTGGTAAACCTTTTTACTATACTATAAATTTAAAATATGTTATCTCAAAAGCTAAAGAGAAAGAAAGGGAGAAGGAAGGGGAGTGGGAGGGAGAGAGGGAGGAATGGAGGGACGGTGGAAATGAATATCATTATGTTCTCAGAATTCTATCTAAAATTCACATTGAATCTGTTAAAAATGAATTAAAAATTAAAATAACAGAAAGTTGTGGAAAGCAGAATTAAAAGATAATGTGCATTTCCTATGAACTTGAAAAGACCTCTCCTATTTTTTTCTAAGTCACCCATATGGTCTTTGTAATTTTAATTAATTTATTTTAGGGCCAGTGTTTTGGTACAGTGGGCTAAGCCACTGCTTGTGACACTGACATCCCATACCAGAGTCCTGGTTATAGTCCCAGTTGCTCCACTTGCAGTCTAGCTTCCTGCTAATGCACGTGGGAAGGCGGTAGAAGATGGCCCAAGTGCTTGAGTCTCGACCACCCTTGTGAGATACTAGGATGGGGTTCCTAGGTTTTGGCTTCAGCCTGGCCCAGACCTGGCTGTTTGCAGCTATTTGGTGAATGAACCAGTGGATCGAAGAGTCTTTCTTTCAGTCCCTACCTGTGCTCTCTGTTGCTGTGCCCTTCAAATAACTAAATACGTCTTAAAAAGGTTATTTATTTTAAACTTGTATTTATTTGAGAGAGGGAGAGAGAGAGAAAAAAAAGATCCCATCTGTAATCCACAATCCAAAAGTCTATAATGGCTAGGGCTGAGCCAAGGCTAAAGCCAGGAGCCTGGAACCTAGAATTCAATCTAGGTTTTCCGTGTAGGTGGTAAAAACCCAACTGTTGGAGCCATTAGCGCTGCCTACCACAGTCTGCACTAGCAAGAAGTTGGAGTCAGGAGCCAGACCTGGATACTGAACACTGGCGTCTGATATGGAACATGGATATCCCAACCAGCATCTTAATCACTAGGTTAAATAAATGCCCACCCCTGTAACTTCTTGAAGAGTAGATCTATGAAGTTTATAGTCCACTTCTGAATGGGAAAGCAGCCAATAATGTACTTCAGTTTTGTTCTAATAGCATGTTGAAATATTTTTGTCAAGTGTTCAGTAGATACTGGGAATTTTTGAGGTGAAAGTGATTTTCAGCATATCCAAAATTCATGAACCATGCCCATCTTTTTTTTTTTTTTTTAAATCAGAAGCCAAGGAAACTATGAATGTGATTATTCTGTACAGAATGGATGTGGCTGGTATCTGCAGTTGATGACTAACAGAGCTGGGACAATGAGACAAATTTCAGCCCCAAAATGTGAGCTGGAGAAGGGACGTTGTTTTTATAATTAATTGATAACTACCATCTGAAAGCATTTACCGCCCCGAGGGACAACTAACTTTTGTAGGAGTTCCTGGGTACAGGCATCTCTCTTCATCTTAAAATGTTCGAGACTTCTTCTGAGCAGAATCCCTAGAATTCAGCTCTCCTGGGTGCTCACACACTTATCCAATTTCTCAGAGACTCAAACAATAACAAATTACATTTATAAATAGCTCCTCTGTGTCTGGCATTGCTATCTACTTTCATAGACAGAAGGACATTGTGGTTTTTTGTTTTGTTTTGTTTTTTTGTTTTGACAGGCAGAGTGGACAGTGAGAGAGAGAGAGAGAGAAAGGTCTTCCTTTTCTGTTGGTTCACCCTCCAATGGCTGCTGCGGTCGGCGCGCTGCGGCTGGCACACCGCGCTGATCAGATGGCAGGAGCCAGGTGCCGCTCCTGGTCTCCCATGGGGTGCAGGGCCCAAGCACTTGGGCCATCCTCCACCGCACTCCCTGGCCACAGCAGAGAGCTGGCCTGGAAGAGGGGCAACCGGGACAGAATCCGGCGCCCCAACTGGGACTAGAACCCGGTGTGCCGGTGCTGCAGGCGGAGGATTAGCCTAGTGAGCCGCGGCACCAGCCAGAAGGACATTGTTTAAAACACAAACAATTGGTGGCTGGATTTTCTCCTTCCAATTAGTCACATCCTCTAGTAGCCCCTCTTTCCTAGCCTACAGAGGAGCTCTAATGATACCTATGCCAAGCCCTTTTCAGGTTGCTGCAAGGCTGAGTGTGGTCATGTTGGAGAAAGAACTTTCTGGGCTGTGAAATTCCTGATGATCAAGAAAGCATTTGAGCACAAACGTGACTGAGTCTTAATTTGAAAGGGGGAGATTTTCAAAGGTGAGCCCAAGCTGATGGTTTTTTTTTACTTGCTCTGGGGTAGCAGAACTCTATCTTGGTTTTTAAGGACTTAAAAACAAATCAAATGTTTTATATGGTAATCATTGCTGGCCACTTCAGGTATAAAGTGAAACAGATGGAATTCTTCACACTAGCAGTCCTAAATGACTTTATTAAAATAATAACAATGTTAAAGGCCAGAAAATTAAGAAATGCAGTTTGATATATTAGGGATACCACCAAGGCCCAGACTACAGCAATTCTCTATATCACTTGCAAGAGTAAAATGAAACAGTTCCTAAACATAGTAAAGATACCAACAGACAGATATTTTGCAGACAAGAAAACCTTTTATTTTAAACCACAAGTAGTCAGCAGGTGGCCACAACTATCCATGTTTCATTAAAATCACATAAAACCTAGGTACAAAAGCACCACTGATTATTGCTCTAGAAAAATTCAAATACGCACAGTAAAAACACCACAGTATGCACAGGACTAAAATTTTAAAGCAAGTGCATGGAATACTAAATCAATTTTACACACAGCTTCCAATATTAAATTGATATTTATTTTACTTGAGGATTATGGAAACTTCCAAAAAGCATGACTATGAGAGGGTAAAATGTCCACCCTTATATATTTTTGTATGACAACTAGTAGAGTCCTAAAAAAATTAGCATTTACAAAATACTTGGTAAAAATAGCTTTTAAAAGTTGTCCCAAGAGATACACAAAATCAACCCCAATTTTTCATGACCATTCATTGTCCCTCGTTAGCTACAGATTCAGTTTTCTGTGCCTGTGTAAAAGAAAGAAAAAATACATAGTTACTACACTAAAACTACTACAACCAAAGAAAAGTCCACCCACCAACACACACTTCTGAGCATTGTTTTCACATGGCTTCACCACACCACCTGTTTCAACTCTGGGTGTAAAACAGACAAGGCTGGAGGTATTATGCGGACACTGCTGCACTTGCTGCTTTCTACTTTCCAAGCAACCACAGAAGCCTTACCTGTGAGGTCCCACTGTTCATAACAAAAACAACCAAAAAACCAAAAACCAAAACAAAAAAAACACCACGCTACTATCTGATTCTAGTCACTGCAAACATGCAGAATTTTCTACTGTACCCTTAACTCTCACTGTTTCAATCTGCCCCTTTACTGACAGTGTGCTGGGTGGGGTACTTCTGGAGGTTGAGACATTAACAGTTGAGCGAGAGATGTGGATCTGCAATTACATTACAGGCAATAGAAAGAGACATTATGAGCGTGCTATCACTGGCTGAAGAATGGAGCGGTCTCTCTGAAGACACGGACGCAGTCAGCGGGGGTTTGATGGGAAGTACCTCTTCAGCTCTCGTGTCACCATTTGCAGATGGTGCAGTACCTTCCTTTCCAGCTTCCTGCTTCTCCTCCTTCTTCCCTTTAGCGCCTCTGTTCATCTTTGCTCCAGGTTCTTTCTAACAGAGGATCAAAGCACAGGCAAACAAAGGATGTTAACCACAGAGTGATGTGAGCTCAGCACAGGCAGCCTCCTGCCCAAAAATGGTGAAGCAGAGAGGCAAAAGGGAACCCAGTTGGGCTGGGTTTGCAACTGAGTTACACAGAGTCTCTATGAAAATGGGACACGCTTAGAAAATCCACCGGACTTTCCCTTCCGTGGAAAGCACCAGGCTTTCTCCCCCCCACACACACACACATTTGTGAGCTGTGGCCCTGCCACATGCAGAGCCCACCAAGCCGGGAACTGGCTCAGCTGCTGCCTCCAGGGAAACATCTCTCAGGCAGACATGTGGCCTAGGCGGCCAGAAAGCAGAGGGGTGCTTGAGAACCAAGGCCCAGACGCAGAAATGTTCCTCGGTTTCAGATCAAGCCACCCGGTGAGCTCTGCTTCCAACATCACCTACTCTATCCACCTAGTTGCAAAGAATTCATAACCTGGCACAGTGCTCTGAACGGCAAAGTATAGAAAAGCCATTTTTGGGTAAGTTTCTTAATAACGCTACGCTTTAGTTTCCTCCTCTGCAAAACAGGACATCTGTACCTACCTCAAGAGGACTGGCTGGAGGGTTCTAAGAGTGAAGCAACCAGAACAGTGTCTGGCCAACCACAAGGGCTCTATAATCGTTTGCTGGTCTTTATTATTGTACTGTTGTGATTAGTCATGACATTGGCCTTCGACCATCAGATACGAAGTTGGAAGTCCTTCCCCCAGCTCTGAGCATTGGCCCACCCCCTCCCCCACCCTCTCCCTTTCTGAGTGCTATGTGAACTGGTATTCAGAAGGCAGCTGCCAGACAACATTTGGATACAAGGCACCTCAGAGTAACACACTCTGACAGCCTGTGCCTCATGGACCAAACGGAAAACACATGCCTGTTACACGATAAAATTGTGCTTTGTGCCTTGTAAGAATCGGTAAAGTGGTTAACAGCTTCCTGGTCATATGTTTCACCCTGAATCACTGAACGAGGTCTTTCCTTGGGTGATTTTTTGATATGGGACTATAAAGTATGCATTGTTCAAAAAGCCAAAGGTGGGAGGGGGTGGGCAGCACCTTTTACCTTAGCAGATGTTTTCCTTGGTTTTGGCTCAGGTTTGGGCGGAGCAGGTTTCTGGAAAGACACATTATACAAATATTGAAAAAGACAATAGCACCCAAGGGACACAAATGGATTGCAAAAGACAACTGTTCATTTTGACTCTTTGTTCCTTTTAAAAAAAACTCTTGTCCTATTTTCAGCATTAGGTAACAGCATAAAGACCTCTGCATTTCCTAACTATTTTCATCTTGGGTTTGGAAGTAAGCAGCAGATGAGATGGAAAAGCCAACTCATTATTCCCTGGTCCAGAACAGCTCTCTGGGAACAGGGTTAAGATTCTATCTCTGATGTCTCTGTACTTCCTTTTATCATAGCACAACGGCAAGAGGAATGAGTCAGGCCCTTGGCCAAATGACTCAATGAATTTTGTCACAATGGCTTCACAACAGTCCAGGAATCCCAGCACAATCATACGCAAAACCCATCCAGGAATGAAGACTGCTGCCTGCAAAGCATTTCAAAGTCATTTCCAAATCCTTCCCCCTCTGATGTGGATTTCAAGTTCTATAGCCAATAGTCTGCATCCAACTCTACAATGTCCGCTTTAGGTAGGACTCTCCCACCCAGACACTGGACTTGTTCGGCTCTAGAGCATTTTTATTACAATGCAATTATAGTGACAAAAATCTCTGCTGTTAAAGCCAAAAGTCTCATATTTTTTCCCCACAGATATTACTGGCTAAAGAACTTCCTAGGAAACCCTTTTTCTCCTGCCTCATGTGGTCCTTTTCCCATTCTTATGAGCAGGGTCCACAAATGCTGGGGCTATGGTGTCCACGCCACAGAGCTCTAGCCCTGAGATTCCTAAGGGCCAGAGACCAGGTGGCACACAGGGGTACTGGCCCAAGATAGCTAGCTTAGACTATAAGCTATTTGCAGATATTTCAGGCAAATGTCTCTCCTACAGAGCTAGAGAAAAATAAGTGAGTATCTCTCCCAGCACTAGAAGAATGTTTTTAAATAGAAACCACTGGCCATGATTTCCCCCTGTGGAGAAAAACACATGTTTCTCCCCAATGTCCCTAAGTGGTTCAGGTTCATATTGAATCTGGCCCTTTTCATCAAGAGCATAAAGTGAAACCTGTAGACAGTCCAATTCCAGAAGATCGGTTGTTAGCCAATTTGAGCTTTCAAATAAAAAAAAAAAAAACGAAAGGAAATTGAGCTTTAAAGAAAGAAATATTTTTATTAATTTTCTTTTCACCCTAAATCTGTAGTCTGCTTCCCAGATACAGCAATATTTTGTGATTCCAAGTTTTGATATATTAACATGTACATTTTCTCAAATTACAGCAAATAATTTAATTTTACATAATTTTTTGTGGGACAGATCTTTCTCCCTGACTCGGCATTCAAGTGTTTTGATAGAACTGGGAAAGGAGACTTTGTAGTCTGTGACCCTGCTGGCCTTGGAGGAGACTGTGTCGGTGCCACAGCCCAGCAGAAGGTACTCACATGCTGCTTCCAGGTGCCCAGAAAAGCCTTGTTGTAAACGTTGGCTTTCCTTTGACTTACAAAGTCTATTCTCTGAACTGGCTACGGAGTCACAATAGCACCTCCCAACTCTTACGTCTTCAAGGTGGCTGATAATCACTCCCTGGGGGACTCCTGTGGAACACTGGCTCTTCCCACCCCAGCCTCGGCTGTCCTTACACTTCGGAACCAGTCCTAACACGCTCTTCCATGCACAGCTGAAGACTGCGGGTGGGATCCACACTTGTACTCCTGTGATAGCAAATGCCTTTCTCCTTAGCTTCTCAGTGGGCAGACTGGGCTGAGGGAATTTTAACCAGAACCTTCCACCAGAGTCGAACAGATCTGTCTGTTAGCAGCATGAGGTCTGGCCCATCAGGAGCACAGCAGGGAAGGGCACACGAGCCAGCAAGCAGGGCAGAGTGGTGAGGAAGAGAGGGAGCCGGCGGGGTCTGTAGTCAGGCACACCTTGGCTTAGAACATGTGTGTCAGAGATCTAGGCAAATGCGACCTCACCGGAGGGGGCTGGCCACTGCTTTTCACCAGTGCATCCAATCAAGAAAATAGCCTAGCAGCACTGGTCAAATTTGCCTGAAACGGTGAATCCAGGTAATTTCCAAAATGAAAACAACAGCAACAACAAACAAACAAAAATAAAAACAAAAAAACCCACAAAGCCACGGGTAACACCACCTTTATTTTTGCTGCTTTGGACAAAGGGTACTTACCGCCGACAATCGGGCAGATCGTCTGGTGGGCTGCAAAGGAAATGAAAAAAACATTGTCTTCAGTGAGGATACACAGCCTGGTTGATTTTGAAACTTCATCTCCAACTACCCGACTTTTCTGAACGACTGTAATGACCTCCATCGCCCTCTGCAGGTGAGCACGGGGAGGAGGGGTACTTCAAGTCTCCGGAACATGGCAACACTCAGGAGAGTGCGTTCCAAATAGTGCAGGTGTGCTGTATCCGCAAACCGCTGCGCAGTGAAGGCTGCGGTGGGCGAGAATGGGGAAGGAAGGTGACTTTGAACTTCATCGCAATCTATAACCTCTATTTTTGTGATAAAGCTGACAATAGGGGCATTGAGGTGCTATTTAAGAACTAGTCTCTGGTCTGACTCTTATTCCTTAAAACTGGGACTAAAACTTGTAAGTTAATACAAGAAGAAACTTCTATCACCACACAGAAACTGAGGTAGCAGGAGTTTCTCATCTTTCTGCTAATTTGGAGAAGACGATGACTCCAAATCGTAGCCACTTAACAAGAAAGACTTCTTTTTAACTGTAGCACAATGAACATACTTATCTATCATGAGCAGATATTAAAAGAATTCGCTCAAGCAAAAATTTCTCTCATCTCTTCTTTTAATTTCAAAGTTTAGAAAATTCGGAGAACTCTGTAGAGATTGATATTTTTTAGGAAATCTTTTCTGCTTTAAAGATGGTACACGTTAACAGCAAATAAGTTTGCAAAGAAAATTTAACAGTGCACACTTCTGACATTCTATGACAGCCCAACAGAAGCTGGCTCCCCAAGGGATCTCACATTCGCAAAGTACAATCGCCTTTCTTTAAAAGCGCTCCAGAAATAAATACTCCACACTTTTGTCGGCTTTATTCACTGCTCTATCTCTAGTCAAACAGCGGACTCCCTAACACATACTACTACTCAAGAAAATCTGAATAAATGAATTCAACTTTTTCCCTAATTTGTACTGCCTCATACAGATGTTGCCTCATTACAGTAGCCTACGTGTGTCAAATAATTTTCCTTAAGGTCAGCAGAAACGATCAGAAGGTACTCGTGCCGTGACTGTGCACAATCACAAAATTCTTGATGCCATCCTTAGGTCAGTCTAGGTCAGTGGTCAGGCCAAACTGGAAGAAATATTTCTTGTCATCTCCACATCTAAGAACTTTCTTGCTGAAAGGAGCCAGAGAAGCTAAACTCATCTTTCTTTGAACTACAGAAGGAAATGAAGAGCCAGAGCCTCCATGAATAATTTTAACCCTGAGGTCTCAAGCAAAGATCAGAGCTGGACCTAAGGCCAGCTAGCAGAATGCACTGGGAATAAGATTCCGTGCAGGTGAAGCAGTCGGCTGGGATATATTCATTGCACAGATTAAGGGGATGCACAGCTCGGCAGAGGGCTCGGTCCAAAGCCCTTTCTGGGGATTAGTAGGGGAAGAGGGTGTGTATCAGATTCTCCACAGAAAAGACCACATTGCCAGCTATGACTACCATGGGTGCATTCATGATGATGGACTCACAAGTCCCTGGAAATCAGAACCAAAATTCTGTAATGCCTTTCCCAGGACAGTTACTCACATTCAATATGTATCACCAAATAATATATAAAAATAAAAACTTTATCCATCACAGCATACAGTAAGCAAGTGCCTTGCCCTTCAATATGTTTTCAGAGCCTGGAAGAACAAAGAGCCACCTGCCAGTTACCAAACAGAGCTCAGCTTCGAAGCTCTGGCATGGTGTCCAGAACTATCCACAGCATCTCACAAGCGAAGCACAGCAGACAGAGTGACAGCCTCCAAGAGGAAAATTGGCAGCTGCCATGCTAGACAGAGGTGAGTAAAATGTATCTGACTCTCTGCTCGGTGTCAACCTATGTGTTTGATGTTGGCCTACCCTCACTGTTCACCTCATCTGTCTCACATCTGTGGCTCCTACCACACAGGGCTATCTTCTACATTTCTGCAGCTCAAATACCTACCTAGTAGACATCCTCAGTAAATGCTGAGATGAGTGGAAAGATTAAGCACCCAAAACATATGGCAATTCTGAACACCTGAATGTACTGAACAGACCCAGTGAGGATTTCCAGAGACAGCGCAATCCAAACACTGCTCTACAGGGCCTGAAAGTCGTTCTGATCCACAGGACTTAACACCTTTTTATAATTCAGCACAAGAATTCAAAATGTAAAAGCCTAGGAAATAAATGCAAAAACAAAGTTTGCCTCTCCAGGCTGTCTAATCGTCCTTTAAAAAATACTTTTTATTTTTTTACTGTAAAATCATTTTATAACTTCCTGTATAAACTTTACCAGCTCTTCTATATCATATTAAAAAAGACTTTTCTTAAAATTTCCCTTCCAGTAACCATCATAAGTGATTTTCTTTCTCACGGCAAACAGTGGAGACTGAGACTGTCTTTCACTCAGTTAGCAGGACTGATTATGCATGCAAGTGTGGACGCCTTCCTGGAAAGTCCCGTCAGCATTCACAGCCTTAAATCTATAAATGATTGGACTATATTTATTGGATACGAAATAGGCGAGACTGCTGTTTTTTACTCTTTAAAACATTAGCATTTAAAGTACTCATTGGAGACTCAGGCTGTTGGGCAGGCCTGTGAGGGGACAAAGGGACATTAGGAATTTCACCTGACTTGTCGATTAAGCCTGCATTCTCAGGAAAACTGGTGGATCTCAGGCAGGGAAGGAAAGCTTTTTGAAGGAAAAGTCATCACAAGATGGACAAAACCAGTAAGGGCGGGGCTTTGTCACTGTGGTATGTAAATGCAGGGAACATCGGAAGCAAAGGCTACTCTAGGGGATGTGGAGTCTTCAACTTTAAGGGCCTGGTGGCAAAAGCAACGTGGAACTCCAATCTGAGCATGTCAAAGTGCACAGGGATAGCCAGATCCAAGCTGAATCAGATCACTGGATTTTGTCAAATACTGCTGGAAACATATGGACAGTTCTACTGAAATCTGGAAGTATTTTATTTTTATGAGAAAACAATATGGTCCTGATGCTGACCACACGTTTCCAAACAAAACCCAACAGTTAAGTTGCTTTTGATTCTCAAAAACAAATAAGAGGTTACATAGAAATGTTCCTCTTTTCAAAACTGGGACAGAGGGAAAGCTGTAAATTAGAGTCTTGGTTGGGGATCGGAGAAGACTGACAAATGGACACTGGATTACCAGATTTTCATGACTGTAACAAACGGACCGGGAGGTCAGAGAATTGGGATCAGGAGACTAAGACATCTTTCTTGCTTCGCTACTTGGCAAGTAGAGGCACCCAGGGGAAATGGTATTATTTCTCTGTTTGCTGTAGTTAAAACAGGGATAATATCTGCCTATTTTGAAAAAGATAGTGCTTCTCTGACATTACTACTCTCTTTCCTTGATGTATTTTTTCTTCATAGTAAATATCCAATTATTTTGACTCTCCCTTGCCCACTGAAATGCAAGCTCCACAAAGGCAAAGAGTTTTGCTTCTGTTCCCTGTGGGATCCACAGACAGAACAGGGGAGCATGACAGGTACACGCATGTCTCTGTCAAGGTAAGAATCTGGCCTCCTCCTTTAGGGTTATTGTGCAGATCAGACAAAATAATGGATGTGAAAGGACTTTGTAAATTGCTGAGTGTAATGATTGTGATGCATTATTTCAGTCATTTATCATCCCTCTCTGCTAAAGCACTGCACCGTGCACAAAGCACTTTGAAATTCACAGCAGTGGTGGAGGATGTTCGAAGAGGACCTCCCTTGCTATAGCTGTCCATTCACCAGAGTCAACGCTGTGCATATTCAATGATATAACTGGAAAATGCAATCCGAATTGAATTTTAATTTAGTGGAAAAGAAATCAATCCAAATACTGTCTCAGAGTTTTTAACCCTTAACTGCTAACTGACTGACCATTCCACTTTTCACACAACTGTGTGAATGCCCTGCCGTTAGGTTTTAAGCTGGCTTTGGCTTACAAGATAGGTAAAAAGTCTTGCCTAGAAAAGATTGTGGTTAATAGTAATAATATCAAAATATATAATATATTGACATAAAATAAAATGAAATGTAAAACAACAAACATCAACAACAGAAATAATAAGAATGTAAGGTTAAAAAAGAATATGTGTAAGACAACTATGTAAGCAAATACACACACATATCCGTTATATATATCCTAACAGGCTTGATTTGCTTTTTAGTGGAGAAGGGAAGACTGTTGTTGCTATCCAATATCCACCATGTGCGAAGGTTTTTAGGTTTTCTGACTGACAAATCAATTCAAATGTCAGTCCTTACGGAGAAATCCAAATGCTTTTTTTGGTGCCTTAATCTAAAAACATTAAGGTTAGTTACACTTAGCCAACTGTCCTAAAATTATATCTTGCCATTTTCCAAGAAAATCCAGGCATTTATCATTTTCTTTTGTTTGGTTCTAGCATTTATGTGGCACATTGACTTTGGATCACAAACTTTATGATTTTCCAAACTGTCGATGAATGCTAAATACATGGTAGAGACAGGCAGTTTTGTTTTAAAGTTATTTCTTTGTTGATTCTGTTAAAGATTATTTCAAAGAATGAATTTCATTGTTTAAATACCATGTAGGAGTTTTGATATCATGACAAACTCCTCTAAATTATTAACCACAACAATAGGAACCCAATCAAAGGATCTGTAACTAGATATTTTTTTTTTCTCTCTCATGACCCTTTTAGTTTATAAGTTCAAATGTAAGAGCTGTAGGGGAATGGCTGTCATCACAGTTACATCTCATTTCCTACTTTTTAGTCCATCTCCTTTCAGACATTCATAGTGTTACTGCGAAGGGTCAAATATAAGTATCTATTCCAAGTTCTGAGCTTTTGGGAGGTCATTATATTTCAACAGAGAGCATATCTGAATTATTGCCTAATTATTATAATACCCTGAGAGTTTCTTCAATTAAAAAAATAAAGCATTAATACTTTCACATATTGTGTATCCTTCCATTGTTTTTGATATTAGACATGGCTCCTCTTAGGCAAATATTCAGAACCTAAAAAATAATTTATAATTCACTCACTGGGGCAGAGAGTTTATGAAATCAACAGTCTTTCATTTTCGCAGTGAAAGGCAGACTCCGTTCTCCTTGATGAATTTATCTATTATCGCACTCTTTGCCCTGAAGGAATTCCCAGTATCTGCTTTAAGAGACAGCAGGACGAAGGGATAGACACAGAAACAACATAGGAAATGGAAAATGCCTCATGGATGCACTCAACTGAAACATACCAAGGCCAGGCGAGACTACACACAGACACGTACCTCTGGTTTACTTAGTCTCAACAATCTTGTTTACAGTAGTATCCATTCAGATGCAGGCAACAAGAACAATATTTAAAATTGCAATTTTGATAATTAAATGCAGGATCTTAAAGACACACCTACCTCCTGTTTAGTGACTTTGGATCCATCTTTGCCCTCTGTGTTCTCTGGAGACTAGAAAGAAAATACATCAGTGAATTATATTTAAATTGGAAAATACATTAGATGAGGACTAAAACATAAAAAGCTATTTTAATTCCTTGGACAGAGAAGTCAGCAGACTTCTTTGCAGGCAGGGAAAAAGGAAGTTTATAAGAAGAGTTTAACACAGAAACACACAGCATTGAATTGCATAACTGCTCTTAACTGATGTGAGCCTCTGCTCTCAATATTCATTGACCATTTCCATTTTTAAAAGGTATTTAAGAAACAGAGAGGAGGTGTGGCAGAGAGAAAGAGACAGAGAGAGAGATCTGAGAACACATTCTTGTCTACTAGTTTACTCCCCAAATGCCCTATATAGCCAGACTGGGTTGGGGCTAGGCCAAGAACCTAATCCAGGTCTCATATGTGGGTGGCAGGGACCCAACCACCTTAGCCATCAATTGCTGCCTCCCAGGGTCTGCCTTGTCAGGAAGCTGGGATGGGGAGCAGGAGCCAGAAAATAAACCCAGACACTCTGATAGAGGACATGGGCACTAAATAACCACTAAACCAAACACCTATCCCAGCGATTTTCATTTATCTTTGATAATTCTACTACCAATAGTCAGTATCGGGGCACCTGGGATACTGTTTCCCTTGCTTGTTCCAGTCACCTTGCCCCTTTAAGATAAGGGCTGCATGCTGGTGAAGTCCAGGCCAACCACAAAAACGCATTTTCATTCTATATTTGCCTAGCTTTGATTTCCAGTCCATTTCTTGATAATCCTTTCCATTATCAACTCCAGCATCAGCATGACAGACACCCTGCCACCCAAGCCGACTGTTCCAAGTTTGATCCATCCCTGGGGGGCAGCACTTGCCCACTCCTATGACAGCCCAAACCTGACTTTTTATATGCTGCAGACAATGGGGAAAACATTAGTTATATTTTCCTTATATTTGAAAGTAACACATACTTTAGATTCACATGAAACTCCACATATGCCAACATTTTTTGGCTGAGTTAATAAATAATATTAAAACAATGAAATTAATTAGAAAATTAAATAACTTAACATTTTATAAGTACATGAAGCAGTGAATACCCAGGCTCTTCAAGCACAAGTGAACAGTTGATATGAATATAACACCCAATACAATTATGCAAGTAGCAAAATGAAACAGCTGTGGGGTAATGTCTCATCTGACAAAATGAGAACAAAATTTTGAAGATCATAAAATGCACTTTTGGTGGTCCTGACAATACTGTAAATAAATTGATAAGTCTTTTCCAAAAACATCTTGGTAATATAAAAAAGACCCATAGGATTGATTACAGGATGATCCAGTAATTCCAAATATTGGACTCAAAAAAGCAACTTTGTAAAATTATATTTTATTTGTACTATTTTTAATGTGAAATAACTAGAAGCAACACATGTATCATTAAATAATATAGAAAAGATTAGGGAAATTGTGTATTTAATTTATTTTATTAATTTAATGAGATTAAAAACCATTAGGCAAGGTAAATACACAGAAAGTTCATATAAAATGCTGAATTAAAAACCTAAAATAATAAAACAGTTTGAAAAAACACAGGTCTTAAGTACGTATGAATATTTTTGGAAACAAAGCTTCCTTCAAGGCAAAGGAAACAGTGAACCTTCTCTGTTCTCTGGAGCTTGCAGTCTATCAGGTCCCTCTTTCCAGAACCTCCCATGTCCATGGACCACTCTCCTGTTCCCAAATGGACCAACTCTTTATCTCTCCTTTGTGAACCTTCTCTGTCATAACGACTGAGTTTTTTCTATGGTTCCCACTGTCTTACTCAGGAGTGTCCGGTTCACAGATCTAGTGTTACATCAGTAAGAAGAGATGGAGACAGCTGAATCTTAGGGAGTCTGAGCATATGAAGATAATTCTGAGGTGTGCCTCTCAGCTTTGCTTATTTCCACAGATACAAGCCCAACCTCTGGCCAAACATAAGGACCTCTGTTGTAGGTTCAGTCCAAGGTACTCTATCTGCAATCAAGAGGCAGTTATGGAGGCAGCACATCACTATTATCAGAAAAATGGGTTAATAATAATATATTCAATACTCTTCTATGCAGTGGATTAGTGATAGGTAAAAAATATCAACCTAAAAATATATGTATCGAATGCAACTTACTCAAAAAGAGAAACTTGGAAAGAGACTGTATGGAAAAGCAGGCATACTGAGAGTGTAGATGACTTCAGATGAATGAACACAGGACTTCAGATGTGAAGAATTACAACTCCAGGCCATTGCTCCAGAAGGGCTTTCTACTAACAGGTACGTTAACATATTTACAGTCAGGAACAGGCAATGATTATACTGGGGCCAGCAGGGTACTACAACATGAGCACAGGAAGTGTACACAAGGCACCTGGCTGGAATCGTGACTCTGTCCAGAGCTGTGTGATCTGAGGCGATGACTTGATCACAGTGGCTCAGGCTCTTCATCCACAAATGACAGATAATGACATCTAACTCAAAGGGACACACTGACGATCAAGCGAGGTGTTGCAGGAAGCACTTCACAAACGGTGAATTGTGACACAGACATTGTGCAATAGATGAGACACAGACTGAAAGGCTATTCTGAATGATGAGGTATGAAATTATAGTCAACAGACCCTTAACAATGAGCATGTTTCCTTACAACCAGGTTACCTGCAAACTGGTCATCTGTTTTTGTTCTAGAATAAGAGACATACATTTTGGAAAGAACTAACATTACTGGCTGCCTTGATACAAGCCTTCTCCACCATTAACATTTAGCCATGAGGCTGGATACAGGAAGGAAGAGGGCACTGTATGAAAGAACTAAAGCAGAAACCCAAAGCTTTTTGTTCCAAGGGACTGTGATAAAGACAAACAAAAATAAGGAAATTAAGGTTTGGGAGTCTATGCAGGTGATCTCAGATATACTTCAACTTCTAGTGCCCCAGTGGGAAGGACAAAGGGAGTGAGATGGGATGCAGAGAATGCTGAAGCGAAGAGGTTCTTGCCCCACCCCCAGGACAGGGGAAGGTATATTTACCCAGGTTAAACCAAGAGTGGTCAAGAGGGCGTGATCCAGGGTCAAACAAAACTCTCCTGTTCCCATAGCTGAGGCTCGCTCGGCTCTCACAAGGCCTGGGTACTGAGCTGCAAGCCAGCCTGGAGGTAGGGGAGACACAGGGTGGACAGATTCTGGCCCCACCAAGAGCTAATCTCAGAGCAAAGCAGCAGGCGGCTGATGGATCACTGAATCCCCAAGTCTTGGATCAGGACAGAGAATCAGCCAATGGGTCTGAACTTTGAGACTGAAGGATTATTCTAAGGGGACATGACTGATCCAGAGTATTCTCTACAGGACAGGTAGCTCTGGTTTTATTGTGTGAGTGGAGCTGAGCATCACCAAGTCTAGAGGGTACACTGAAAAGGTTCCGGGACCTGTCATTTTCAGGTAAATGTTGTCATCAGTGCTGTCTTTCAGGAGGGGGTGGAGAGCTCCTTGTGGCTCTGAGGGGCACTGGGATAAGGTGGGTCAATGCACAATATAGGGATTTGTGTTGAAGCTCATATGGAGGCTTAAAGATTTACTCCAGATCTAAGGAGTCGCAGGGGGCTAAAGACGAATAGTCACTGTGGATGTTGGTGTCTTCAACTAAATGGAGGAGCTGTCTTCCTAGGAGATGAAGGATCCTTGGTGGCTGATGCGATGTGTCCAGATGTTTTCTGACTGTTGGAATCCAGGCTTACAGATTTCAGCACACACAGCTGGTGGGGTGTGGCCACACATCATGGTAGAAACAAGGACGGTTCCTCCCCACACCCCGTGCCAGGGCTGACACGCACCACAGCCTTTCCCTGTTCTCTCCAGGAAGTGATTTAATTTTTTTGCTGTTAGCTTCTAGAGCTTTTTCAGGGAGCTGCTTATGTGGGGTCAGGCGCCTATACTCTCTCCCCTGTGCCAGCCCCAGTTTCCTAACACCCTCTAACACTCCCTAGGAAGAACAAAAATCGGGGGAGGGAGGGAGGAAGGCATGCTCTATCAGATTACAAGACTTAAAAATAATGCAATAAACAGCATAGGTAGCTAACACTTATCCAGCAATCTCATATTTTAAAGAGACAAACCAGACCCCAGGACAGAAAGCATGAAAATAAAAAGATGTTAGGCTAAAATTAAAAACTAGAAACAACCCACATATCCATCATTGGGAGGACAATTAAGTGCACTATGGTATGTAATGAAACAGTGTGTAGTACTGAAAACGCGTGAACGCAGATAAATCTCACAAACAAAATGATGGACAAAAAAGGAAGTTGTGGTGTGATTCCAAATACAGTTATAAATACTTATAGTTCAAAACACTGGCCTATCCCTGGTTGTTGAAGGCATTTGGGGATAGCTGGAAGATTTATCTCTCTATATTTGTCTCTGTCTCTGTCTTTCAAATAAAATGAAAATAAATACCAAAAATTTGTAAAGCAAAAAGAAGCAGGTGAAATTAAAATATTTCATCTAACCAAATATGTCTAAAATGTAAACATATCAGCATGCAAATAATATACAAATTATCAGGAGATATTTCACAATTTTTTGTATCAAATTTTTAAAATCTGGTATGTATTTTATAATTACAGCACATCTCCATGCAAACACTATAGTTATTGTGACTATCTGATTTGTACTAAGAATTCATATTAGTTATAGCAATTTCATTCAGGTTGTTCCAAACATATCTTAAATTTTCCTATAATCTTCTCATGTCAGTTTTTACATTTAAGTTAGTTAAAATTAAGTAAAATTTAAAATTAGCTTCTCATTCTTTTTATATACTTAATAACCTTATGCAGTGAGTGGCTACCACACTGAACAGGGAAGCTCTAGACAATAACAACCACAGGCGATGGGAAAGGGGTAGCTAGCTAAGATGTTAAAGGTTGTATCATCTTGAAGATGATACAGATACAGAATAATTTTAGATCCTGTTAAAATAAAATTTAAAGATCA